AAACTGTCTTGGAAACATATACATAGTGAGCTTGGTCGTGCTCGCGTTCAATTTTTCGGCATGGTGACTCGTCCCGTCATCTTTGCCGGCGCAACACCGATTGAGAACATCTAATCTATTAAGCGACGTTCTCCAAGAATGCTGGGGAAGAAGCAGGGGGGCCAACTTACGAATGGATTTGAAACCATGCCGAACCCGGCCGCGCGCTGTGAGAACTGGCCTTGCATAGAATATGCGGCTTCTTACCAGTGAGATGTCTGACGATTTGCGAGGCTCGTTGGAGCTACTACGGTTACCGCCAAATTGCAACTCGGAGAGGGGAATGCCTGGCCAACGTTAGGGCTGGCTCTGTGTGGAATTGCGTATTTCACCGCACCGTTCGTCCTGACTTACCGCTTATCTGGTAGTAGTTGCCAATTCCTGCGTCAATTGTTACAAAAATGGAGCGTTCAATGAGAAGATCAACCATGACTCTCTGTCCCGAATGACCCAGCAATGCCAGCACCTGCGGCCAAGGCTGTCGTCTCAAGGCCGCAGCGTGATGATTCGGATACTCCCTCCACACACCTGGGATGGAAGTGTTTTGAGGATCACCCTCTTTGGTTCGTTTACGGTATCCATCACAGAGAAGGTGTTTCGGCCATGCACCTGGCGTCTTCTGCCTATTGAAATGGGACCATATGGCAAAGTCCACGAGCTAGCCCGCCCAATCAGCAACAGTACAACTCCAAAGGTTCGGTGAGGCCCAATGATACAAACCTCTGATAGCGTGTTCTCGGATTCGGGCAAGTCACCCGATATAGTCACATGCGACTCGTCTCCATTTTGCGAAAATGACAACCACTGTGCGTAAGAGGCATTGTCGGTCTGCAAAATGGCCTTGGAGTCGCAGATTAATGTTGAATCCAGGAATTCGGAAACGGCTGCTTCCAGTTCACTGACGGAAGTACCCTTGCCGAGAGAACTGATCTTTTTTCGACGCAGTCTGGAACTGGTTGGAAGTTTGAGCAAGGCATACTCCCGCAGAGTTAATACGGTAGTATAAGCGTGTCGTAGGAGATCCCTCCTGACGGGTCCGTCGCAAGCCGCGACGCCGTTGTCCGAATTTGACGCGTCTCGCTCATGGCGCTTTCGCTTTCGTCCAGAAGTCATTACCTCACGAGCCCGGCATGTGGGCGGCGTCACAAGATGGTGAACTGGCCGACAGTGCCAACTTACACGCGTTTGTTTCGAATGGTGTTTGGCTAATCAAAAGTGAAGCCAGTTCAAGCCACAAATGGATTGGCAACTGGCGGGTGGCAGCAGTGGGTTCGATGTCCGGTCAATGTCCAGTCAATGTGGCTGGTATCATTGTCTGTGCGCGGCGGGTGTGGCTTCGCGGGTACGGAGTACATACAGTCTGGAGACAAAGTTGGTTCAATTAATTGACCGACACAAAAAGTTGGAGACGGAGCTGCTGTCAAAGCACTTAGAGACCCTCAACTCTGCATGGTGTCAACCTTTTGATCCAAGATGATGCAGGGCAAATGGGTTGACAATTTTCAAGCAGGACTATGAGGACTCCGGTGACAATCTGAATCGTCGTTTCCACCCCGTACAGGTACAGTGTTCCACACGGAACTACTAGTACTAGTAGTAGTGCTAGGCGTCGAGGCGCTAGTGTCCAATCTGTCACTGGACTGGAGAAAGCTCTATTAACTGGGCGGGATTGCGGAGATATCGACTACCCGTTTACGGAATGGCAGCTAGTAGTTAAGTGGTTAGATTAAGGTCAGCACACGATGAATAAGCTGTCAATGGTCAACTGCCACACTGTGGCCAGGGACTTTGTGCAACAGCACCATGGCAGCTCATGGTTAAGCTTCCGTGGAGCTGCGTCCAACACCGACGCGTCTGCCTCTGGTCGAATGTGTAGGCACGTCAAGTTAGGCCCAGCCGTAATACCGAGTACTACTACTACTACCCGCAACAATGTATTGCCATGTGACACAATGCCTCAGTTGATTGCGGGTTTATTGTCAGCGTTGGCCAGAATCTTTTGATGAAACGTCGTGCAAACACAGGATGAAAGCCGTTGCTCGGCTGGCCAGGGCGTTGCCAACCTTGTGATTGGCGAGATTGGTCAATAATCGTGTCCTCGTCTTTGTCCCAAAGCGGCTGACTCGACCAAGGCGGCCATTAACGATATTACGATAGTATCTCGAACGATGGGCGTGTTGTTTTTGTTCGGCTTCCTCCATCAGCAAAAACATGAGTGGGGAGAGAGCCCTCCCTTGTCACACGTTTGAGTCCTTGGTGTCGCATCGACGACCGCTCTACCGTTGTAGTAAAACAACGGCCTGAAACTGCTTCCAACCGCGAGTGGTACCTTTGCCGGCGCGGGTTCCATCAACAAGTTGCATTGGACCGGCGTCGAAAGGCATTCGTAACTCGGCACGACAGTTTGCCGAAGTGAATTTCCCCTTACTTCTTGATAGGGACTCAAATACCCGTCCTGATTGTATGTACACGTCGTAGTAGCGAGACGTCGTCGATGGCTCATGAGATGGAACGGAAATGTTTACCGCGAGAAAATGACAAACGACGCCACGGACCTGGGTCCATGGGTTTAAAAATAAGTAGCGGCCATGGGGGGATTGCCGGGGGGTCATCATCGGGTTCGGCTGCTGAGAGCGATCATCATTCGATCTCTTAGTCTACTGCTGCTCGATTGCAGCACGGCAATGACTCGTCGTTTTCGTGTTTGGCCTTTTAATCAAAGCGCCAAAACGTGGCCTACAAACGGGTCGATGCACGTTGTTGTGGCATCGTGGTGCCACGGCATAGGAACAAACGTGGGCAGAAGCCAAGAGAGGAAAACAATGACTTAAACGTGCCAGTCGAGAGGGATACCCTGGCTTCGGCGAAATGTCAATTATGCGCGAGACCAAGACAACAGGATGAGACTACTATTATGTATTTATTTACTTACTTAAGTACATAGGCGCACCTGGGGATTTTTTACCATGTGTACCGAGTATGTACGTACCTGTAGTTTTGACGTGTCGAGAGCAGGCCAAGAAAACGGAAATCCCAACACGGGCAGGAGCGACTGGCAATGGCAACATTGGAATGCAGTGCCTAGTGCCCTAATTTCTTCTGATCTGGCGAATGCTCGTGTTCATCAGCCCTTCAATATTTCTCCTTCAACTTGCATTGCACGGAGGCGTTGGGCGCTGGGCAGCAATGCGAGGCCAACGGATGTGCGCCACGGGCAGGGCTTGCCGCAGCCTGTAGGGAGCATTTTATACTACAAAAATTGTCAACTGGTTCACGTCATCAGGTTAGTTGTTGTCAAGGACCGTTGATGATTTGGCACTGACTTGACACACCGACACTAACAGGGTTCAGTGAGAAATACGAGGACGATGAGACGCAAGGCGTATTAAAGCCTCACACACAAGGATCCGAGTCCATTGAAACCATCAAACTATGAATACGACCATGGTATTTACTCCTACTCTTGGCTTCAGGAGAACACGTTCGGATTTTTTGGTTAAAAGGGACATGCATGGCATACATTAACACTTGTTTAGGTGAGCCGCAGCCTCGGCCTAGGTCCGTTTGTGTCCCATCTTGGCCTACCTTCCTCCGGCTTGGCGAGATTTCAATCAAGACGACGGGTGGAGCAGCAGCAGAAATGAGCCGAACACACCACAGCATGTCACAATATTCGCCAGCTTGCAGCATCCTGCCCTGCTCTTAGCCCAGGAGAAAGATGATCCTCGTTGCAATTTCAGTCGGTGCAGCCAACTAGTTGAGTGCAGGGCCGGGTCAAGGGATTGTTTGTGCGAGGCTCATGTCATTCGTTGGAACCCATGCTGTATATACTCCGTAGTATGACATAACTGGCTGGCCCTGTGCCCCCGTGTGCTGCCCTCTGACATTCGGGTCACCCTTCCTTGACATGGCTATTGTCTCTTGTTGTCCTTCAATCCTGTCATGGTTTGTGATGGTGCCGCGATGAATAAACATGCCGGCTACGGAGGACCGAGTACGCCACTGGGATTCCAGGGCCCCAAAGCCCAAAGATGGTGGCACGGCTCATCGTGGGCCTGGTGGTAATGTCAAGTGCTCAAATGGCCTGCCCTGCTTACCTACTTAAGTACTTAGGTATGCACATATGTATAAGTCTTCCTTTGTGCCACCACCCAAACCCAATTGATCCTGGGAATCGGGCGTATGCACCAGGACCATTTGGTGCGGTTCCATCCCTTCACCTTCAGATGCCGGAGGCGACGTGCGTCAAGGTGCGTGGGAAGAAGAGCTTCAATGTTGCCCTCTCCTGCGTGTGCCCGCCCTCCAGGGCCCTCCAGGGCCTGCAGCATATGCGGCATACCAGACCCGACGTGGATTCCGTACGTACGGAGTCGCTAAGCCTTTACCCTATGTATAGTACTAGTCAATAGTAGTAGTATGTATACCAGACTCCTGGGCACACGAGCCGACCTCTCCCCTTCAAGATGGGGACATGATTTTCGTGATCTAATCAGTGTCTGCATGTGGGCGCGTGCCTGGCTACGCGCTCTGGCTGTCTGGTCCGTGGCTGTCTCCGACCGCCACCAGTTGAAAGCCCCGGGTGCCCCCCTCCCATCCATCCTCCCCACGTCGTCCCTGTCGTCCCTGTCCGTCCCTGTTGTCCTTGTTGTCCCTGTTGTCCCTGTCGTCTCCCGTCTGTTCGCAAATGCTAGAGCCACCATCTCATCTCCAATCAAGCAGCCTCACTCCATGTCCGTACGCCTCAAGCTACAAGGTCGAGCCTCCTAGAGTCCACCAGCGCCTGTCACCCGGTGCTTCCCTTTCCGTCGGCCCAACTCTGTTCTCCCTCCGTCGTCTGCCAACGTATCGATCGATGCCCGCTGCTGCGAGCACTGTCATTTGTCTTTCATCGTGTCCCGACCAGTCACGAAGCCTGACCAGCCTGACCGGATGCACAGGTCCTGGCCACTTGCTTGGCCATCATGGACCCGGCCCCGGATGCTGGCCAGCTTCGAGACGATGCTGTCGATACCCGCCTTCCCGCCTTGGGCCACCAAAATCTAGAGCACGACCTCAACCTCTGTCACCACACCAGCCCTGTTTCTCTCCCAATTCCATCCCCAACCGACTCCCTCCTCGAATCTCTCTCCTACACTGACTGTGACCTAAGAAACGACACTCAGGACGACGGCCTCTCGTACCACCAGTTGGACATCCCCGATTCATACTCAACGACGACCTATCACGACCCGACGGCCTCGACTGGGGACAACCATCATGCCCCTTCGCCTTCCTTAGACCCCGACGACTTTTACAGAAACTTTCGTGGCCTAGACAGTAGTACAGGTTTAGACCTTCTACCCATGGCAACCACCTCGTCTTCTCGCGCGTCCCTACAATCCAACGGAGATGGAACTGCCAGTCTCAAACACTCGGCGGTCCCCCCCGCTACACGCAGTCTGCCACGAGCAAACCTTCGCTCCGTTTCTAGTCCTTTAGACACGACAGTATCTGCAAATAGAACCCTCGCCCAAGCGATGCCCGCTGGCAAACCGAGCGTGAAGGACTTGAAGAAACGATTTGACCAAAATGCCATGGCCGCTGGCTCTGCCATCGCGCTTGCTCCTAACAGAGTAGTTCCTGTTTCAAAGTCTCCTAGGTCCAGGAGCAGCGCACAGGAGCATCGCATCCCTCACTCAGCCACCAATCCAGAGACACGACAGTCGCCTGCCTGTGGCAGAAGCATTGGTGGTAGTGTTGCTGGGTCATCATCGTTCCCGCTGCGACACTCCAAGTTTGTGGTCGACGATCATGCTTCCACTAGCTCGCAGTCATTCGCTAGTCGCATCGGCAAACCGCGGAATTATACGGACGTGGAGAAACCATCCCCGCCAACACGATTCAATCATCGCCAGGTGCCTTCTACTTCCTCTGACGGCGGCAAGTCGACAGGTTTGTTATTTGGCGAGGTTCTGCGGAACCATGACGAGGCGTCCGCCTTGGGTTTTGGCATTGATGGAGTCCGCGTGCGGAGAACTTCGGAGTCTAGCATCCAGCATCACAGCACACATCATCGCACCTTTTCTGGGCCCAGCAACGGGGCAGGCTCGCCCACTGCTTGGTATCGCGACCCTGCATCCCAGAGAAAAGGAACCCCTCGCTCTACTGCTTCGGGCTCCCGGCCACGACCTCACTCCCGCGCTCATAGTGATGACGGTTCGTCGTCACCATCGTCGCGGGCCGCTCGAAATGCAAGATATACACCCTCGTCACACTCATCCAAACTGCCCGTCTCCGTCCGAAAGCTCAACGCGCCAAGTAACTCCACGAGTCCGTCCTCCACTCGCTCAAGTTCCCCGTCTACACTTAAGAAATATCAAGCGAATGGATGGCCGACTACGAGAACAAGCCCTGGCGCTACCCGGGTCAAGACGCCAACGCCAAGCCGAAAGCCTCCTCCCCAAGGGCTGGTCACGCCAAACAGCAGCAACAGCAACAGCAATAATCCAAGGCTGCAGGCATACATTTCTTCATCTGCCCCAAAACTCTCTCCAACTCTGCGCAGCTCTCGACCCCGACAGCCGGTTTCCATCGCCAGCACAGCCAGTTCTAGGTTGAAGGAATCCGAAAAAGCACGGATGGACAAGCCGCGAGAACCATCCTTCAGGCCTCGCAAAATTTCCATCGGTCCCATAGATTTTGCACAGAGAAGAGAGCATATAAGGCTTGCTTACACCAAGTCGATCCGTGAGAGCGAGGCTCTGGAAGCACGGCAAACTGCGGCTGCTGAGAAGATACTGCGTGATTCGGAAGAGACTGCTGTCAAACGACAATCTTTGACACCTGCTGCCCCTACCGAAATCGCCAAATCGGATGACTCTGTTGCCGTGTCTAGTGAAGCAGTTGAGATTAGTACTACCGACCCTGTCCGAGATGCCAAACCTGGCGTGCCCGAGGCGTGTGACTCTGCAGAGTCAACAAAGCCTCTGGTAGCAGCACCCCCTCCTCTAACAATTTCCACCGACAAAGATCAAACAACGGTGCTTTCACCAGATTCACCAACCTTGGGGTTGCCTGGAAGCTTTCCTATTCAAACATCACCACCGATGGTCACAGACGAGCCGCCGCCCTCAGCAATGTCGCCGACTTCAGATACGACTGAGTTCGACGCTGAGCCTCAGACGCATCTGCCTGTCCAAGCACAGTCGAGCCCTGGCATCCCGGTTACGCTAGGCAAAACTCCAAGTCCTCAGCCGGAACAAGATCCACCCCTTTCACGTACTACGGAATATCGATATCCGTTTGAAGATGAACCCGACGAGTCTCCGGTACGAGCGTCGCCAACGTTACCCGTAACCGAATACGAACGGGATCCGGCTGTGCCAGGCTCGTTTGTGGACAACGATGACGATGACAAAGAACCAGACGGCCTAGGGATTGTCTCATCACAATCGCAAGACACCGCAATCACTCTGGTACCGGATTCGCAAATTCAAGCGACTTCGGGTAGTGAGAACACCCAAACAGTTCCTTTCCCGCGGCTCGAGACCCAGGACGACTCCGATTGCCAGTCCGATTTGGATCACCTCCAAACGCATGGGAATCAAGATGGCCATCATGACAATGACCATGATGATGCACTTACAAACACCTGCACGGAGGAGACTGATGATGATGACGGGGAACACCATGAACTTTATCCTGGACAACTTCCTGGCCAACACGTAGGGTCCTGCAGGGCATCGACATGTGCGTCATCGGAAGCTGGCACTTGCGACGATGTACGCCATTCGGGCTACGAGCAACAACAAGGTCTGGGTGCATCGTCCCCGAGTAACTTGCTGATCCCCAATGCGAAATGCCAGGATGAGCGATTCAGTAGACAATCTGCATGGACAGACTTTTCCGTGGATAGTACTGATCCCTCAGAAGTGATGAGATCCCCAGCGATGCCCAGCAGCCGTGAATCACCAGCCTTTGGCAATGTCAAAATATTTAACCCTAAGGCTGAGTCGTCTCTCCATGATAGGCGCCGCAATAGGCTGTCGGGACTTGACGATTCTGAAGATTCAAGGCGGTCTTCAACTCACTACCACTCGCACCATCTGCCCGAGGTTGACACAGGGAATGGCTTCTCGGTTCCTTACTTGTCGTCCCACCAAACAAGCGACCAAGTCTCCTATATTCCGTCGCCGACACACGAACCTCCTCCAATTCCGACCTCCCTACCAGGTTCTGGCCTCAACTCCAGAACGTCGAGCACTTTTTACGACCAGGCCCAATACGAAAGCACACTACTCGACTCTGAACGGGGAAGCGACGAATACATGTCGAATGCCGGGACATCTCGATCTGTCGACTCGGCATCTCTGGCGACTACTGATCAGTATGTGAGCACACAAACACCGGCAGACAGCGATACCAAGTCGCTCTCACAGGACAGCGAAGAGCTTAGCGACAAGGAACGGCATCGTCTTGGTCAAAGGAGAAATGTCATCAAAGAATTGGTGGATACCGAGGCTGTATTCGTACGCGACATGAATATTGTGGAAGAGATCTACAAGGGCACTGCCGAGGCGTGCCCCAAACTCGACGGGAAAACGATCAAGCTCATTTTCCGAAACAGCGACGAAATCATTGCCTTTCACACCGCGTTCCTCGCAGAGCTCAAGGAGGCGGTTGCAGCTGTGTACATTCCAAAGGGTGCCAGAAATATGCCAGGGGATGACTCAAGCCTGTCAACTCAAGCCGTCGCTACAGCTGGGGAGCCAAGCGATGCCAAAGACCGCTCTACTTCTCTCGGACCGGTATTCAAGAGCAACATGGAGCAGATGAAGGTGGCGCATGAAGGGTTTCTTCGTGCTAGTGATCAAGCTGCCAAGAGACTCATCCAAATTCAGCAAGATCCCACAGTCCAGGTTTGGCTGAATGAGTGCAATGAAGTCGCCAAGGACTTGACTGCAGCCTGGGATCTGGATTCTTTGTTAATCAAGCCTATGCAGAGAATCACAAAGTATCCGAATCTCATAATTACACTTCTCCAACATACGCCTCAGGATCATCCTGATCGAGAAGCCTTGATGGAAGCCAAGGACATATTGGAAACTGCAATTATTGAAATCAACAAAACCAAGAAGAATTTCGAACTCGTTGGACAAATCGTGGGCAGAAAGAGAAAAGAATCCGACGTCAGGGCCGGCTTCGCGCGAGCCTTCGGCAAGCGGGTCGACAAGTTACAGGCATCCAACAACCGCACGGCAGAAGATGCAGACTATGCGAAACTTAACGAAAAATTCGGGGATGACTATCTTCGACTTCAAGTTGTCCTTCGAGATGTTGAATTCTACACGAGGCAAGTGTCGGCGTATGTCCACGAATTCCTTCAGTACATGTCGTCTATTGAGCTTGTTATGCGGCTTCAGCCCGGCAACTATCCAGAACTCGAAAGTAAATGGGTACAGTTTAATATTTCCGTCCGCGACCTGGAAAAGGTTGCACTGGAGGAGCATCTAGCGCAAGTCCGCAAGCACGTCATTGAGCCATTTGAGCATGTCATTAAAGCATATGGCAACCCATCATTGGCCATGAAAAAGAGGCAGAAGCGGCGAATAGACTATGAGCGGTTCGAACAGCTAAAGCGAAGTGGGAAAACACCCGATCCCAAGCTAATGGAGCTTGTCGAACAGTACGAGGCACTGAATGATACATTGAAGAAGGAACTTCCTCAGCTGTCAACTTTGACTGAAAAAGTTGGCAACATTTGTCTCGGAAACTTTGTGAATATCCAGGCGAACTGGTATGCCATTTGGAAGGAAAAGATGAAGATGGTCTTGCCAGGTTGCGGGGATATGCCGGACCTGCAGTCGGTAGTGTCAACCTTTCAGCAAGACTTTCCCTATACCCACGATCAGATGGCACAGATTGGTATCCTCAACCCAGCAACCTGGGGTAGAACGTCACAGTCAACCTCTGTGAGTGTGGATGACGTGTCAATACGAACAAGGTGTCGGCCCTCGGATGTCGAATCTCGCAGTCGCGGCCAATCTTTGAATGGTGACATGGCACCGTCATTACCTGCACCAGACTTTGGGGGACGCCGCAGTGGCTCATTCACCATGTCACCAAGCCATGGCGCTACCCCTGGCTTTGGAAATGGCAACGTGCCAAGTCCACATCAGTACTATTATCGTGACTACTATACCGGCATTCAGGCCAGCCAGGCAGGATCCGCTTCACCAAAGTCTCCCGAGATGGCCAGCAGCTCACGGCCCGGTGCTGCTGGCGGCATGTTTTCGACAAGACCCAGCACTGGCCGTAGTTTCGATCCTGGAATGACCCGACAAAGCTCAGATTCGTCTGTCCTGCAACATCGCGACTCCAGCGCAACCTATAACTCGGCCTACGTGCTCCAGGATACTCAGCGTGAACCTCATCGATTTTCCAACCTGTTCCATTCGGCTCTTCCAATGTCGGACGGACCTGATGACGGCAATAGCCAACGAGCGTCGAGGGCGTCGTCCACCGACCGTGGTCAGAATTCCGACGGCTACAGGGTGTTGTGGCTGGCTGCGTCACTCTTTGAATTCAATATCTCTACCACTAAACACGAAGCTGGATATCCGTATCTGACATATCAAGCTGGAGAGGTAAGCTCACCGTGAAATTGGGCACATTATGATTTATATGAGTGCATCTATTTGAGCTAACGTTGGCTGCCCAGATATTCGATGTCATAGCCGAAAAGGGCGAGCTCTGGCTAGCAAAGAACCAAGACGACGCAAAAGATCAAGTTGGCTGGATCTGGTCAAAGCACTTTGCAAAACTGGCCGATCAGTAGACAAATTCAATCCCCCCCCATGGGTTTCCTCCCCCTTTTAAGAAAGAAAAAGCAAAACATTCTCTGGAAAGGCGCGGTGTTTGCTTACTTCGACTTTTCAGTATTCTGGGGCAGAAGATAAAACTCGTAGTCCTGCTTTTGCCCTGAACCAAAGCCTCTCAATATCTTGGTAGGGGAGAACAATTCGACCCCTCTCTCGTCACAGGTCAGGGTTCTTGTATCAACTTTTCATTTGTGTTAGCGAAAATTGCTGTCTTTTATTCCCTTTTACTTCACCTTTTGTTTCTAGCTTCTCCGCCACCACCCATTAGCATACATTGCCTCTCATGAGGGCATTTTTGCTGGGCAAGGACAAGGAGAAGGACATGGGAGCCCGGCGTTTGACGAGAATATCAAAAGGCAGGGCCGGGTAACACTCTACAATAATTGAGTCGTTTGTTTCGCACAAATTGAAGGACTGGGGAGATGAAGAGGCCAGATTTTGTTACGGTTGGCGAATAAACGGAAGCCGGGAGACAGATGCAGATGCAGATGCAGAATCAAGGGGACCAGATTAAGATACCAACAGGACGATTTGTACGAATACAATACAATATGATCCATTCGTGGTGCGCTGGACGTGACGCGCAATGCCAGCCTTTTTTTTTTTTTTTTTGGTCTTAGCAACCGCGGCTGAAAAAAGTTGACATGACTTCAAGGCTTATAACAGCGTTCAATGGTGACTCTACAGCCGCAGCCAAACCCGCCTGAAGTAACCAGTGCTGCGGCCCGCGTTGACGTTTGAACATGTCAATCTGGTTGACTAGGCAGGTCCCACCCAGCCGGCTTCGAACAGTGAGTGCCGCAAGTTCAAGAGTTCAAATGTCTGGTGCTCCACCCGCCCGAATCAGGACGTGCCTGTACATAAGCTTGAAGCCTTATTGTGTGGCTGCGCCCAGCCAACACGAGACAATTCATTTCTGTCTTTGCGCAACTACCGTTACAGGATTGTATTATATTCTCTTTCACTCGTTTGGCCTGTTCCTCTTCCCATCAATTGCACAATTGATTGAACAATCGACGTGCCGACGCTCCTCTTTAGCGTGGTGCGTCGAGAAGACGGGTGTCAAGTACATGCGCTCTCCGACAGTTGAACACTTTGGTAACACTCGACTCCCGCTAATCTTGGAGACAGCTTGCAGAAGTCTATCGACTCGGCGCGTCAAACGACAAAGCGTCATCGCCAAAACCCAAATGGCAGATTGGCATTAGCCCGAGCCACACCGCAAGCAGCGCGACCGCTGCACAGGGGACGACTTCATCATGGCCAGCTTGGTGGGACAGCCGTCCATCAAGGGCCGCTCGGAGGCAACGCGTATGATCTTGCTGAATTTTTGCACCATTGGAATAACGTGAGTGTTCATTGCCATCTCCAAGTTACGGAAGGCGTCAGGGGGTTGACACGCAAGGTAGATTCACATGGGGTATCGAAATGACATGTAAGTGCAGCCAGCCCAGCCCTCCTCTGCTACACGTCTATCCCAAGCGCCTGCTTTCTGACTGCCCTCCCGCTCTGGTAGATTGTACGCCCTATCTTCTCAATCTCGGGCTCACCAAATCCAACACTTCCCTGATATGGATTGCTGGCCCCCTCTCTGGCCTGCTCGTTCAGCCCATCATCGGCGTCATCTCGGACGAGAATACTTCGAAATGGGGGCGCAGACGGCCTTTCATGGTCATCGGAGCATTGATCGTGTCTGTTTGCCTGATTATTCTGGGGTTTACAAAGGAGATTGTGGAGCTTTTGCTGCCGGACGAGGAGTTGGCCAAGGGACCGACAATTGCGTTGGCCGTCTTGTCCATTTACGCATTAGATTTTGCTATTAATGCTGGTGAGCATCCCTTTTTTCTCGTTCGAGCCTTGAGTTGGGATATCGCGCTCAAGTGCTAACACTTGGTAGTCATGTCCTGTTCGAGAAGCCTGATTGTCGATACTTTGCCGTTGGAGAAGCAGCAAGCCGGCGCGGCTTGGGGTACGTAGTCTCGCCGCCGCCGACACGTCCAAGGGCAGTTACTCATGCCGTTACAGCAAGCAGAATGAATGCAGTTGGCCATGTGGTGGGATATGGTGCCGGAGCCATCGACCTCGTTCAAATCCTCGGCAACACGCTCGGCCAGACCCAGTTCCAACAACTCACCCTCATTGCTGCCATGGCTATTCTAGCTACAACGGCAACAACATGCTGGGCCGTCCGGGAAAGCGTCCTCGTGTCCAGCCAGGGATCCAAGCCGCAAAGCAGCTTTGGTGTGCTCGGCCAAATCTACTCTACCGTACGCCACCTGCCACCTCGCATCGAAGCCATCTGCTGGGCGCAATTCTGGTCCTGGATCGGCTGGTTTCCATTCTTATTCTACAGCACGACGTGGGTGGGCGAGATCTATTTCCGATACGATATCCCCGCAGATGCGAGGCAGTCGGAAGATGTCCTCGGTGAAATGGGCCGTATAGGGAGCAAATCCCTCGTCATGTACTCCTTCATCACCTGCACGGGGTCGTTTGTCCTGCCGCTGTTTGTCAAGTCGCCCGATGAAGAGCCGTACACGGCTCGGCCGCCCCAGGCTGTGGCCGGTTTTCTGAAGCGCTTCGAGGACATGAAGCCCGATTTGCTGTCCACCTGGATCTTTGGCCATATCATGTTTGCGGCCTCGATGTCTCTTGCGCCATTTGCCACGAGCTTTCGCTTCGCCACGACACTCGTATGTCTCTGCGGACTGTAAGTCACACACACCACTCTTCTCCATGACCGTGCTTCCATCCTAACGAGCAGCCTGAATAGACCGTGGACCATCGCCATGTGGGCGCCCACGGCCCTGCTTGGCATCGAAGTCAACAAAATGAGTGGCCGTACTGGAAACAGACGTCTATCCAACGACCCCGACACTGAACTCCGTGAGCTGAACAACCGCAATGCGCCCACCTTGTTGGGCGATGGGCCTGAAACCCCGGCATCATCCTCTGGCGAGCTGTCCGGGATATACTTTGGCATTCTCAACATTTACACCACCATCCCCCAGTTCTTGGGGACATTGCTGGCTACGGTTGTATTTGCCATCCTGGAGCCAGGCAAGAGTAGGGAATTGGGAAATCATGGTCAAGCGCCGAGGAGGGATGGCCCAAATGCTATAGCTGTGTGTTTGTTCGTAGGGGCTGTTTGCGCCGTGGTGGCATCCTTTGCGACGAGGAGGCTGAAGACACTGTAGTCTAGACATCGGAACCACCTTGGATAGCAAGTAGACGGATGGAGTTGGGTTAGAGTGTTTCCCAACACTGCATCACCAGGTATACTATATTCTTCTTATTTAATTTAATACGCTGCATCCTCGCTTCGTTATTCGCTCATGCACGCGCCCGGACAATGTCACTTCTCGATCTCCGAGACCTTCTCCCACTCATCCTCGGTGCTCACACTAGACTGCGTCGATCCCCCAGACGAAACTTCCGAGTTCTTTGCCTGGCCAGCAGCACCGCCGCTCTCCCCTCTCTTCTTCAGTCTCTGCCGGCCCTCTCTCGCTGTAGTCTCAACCTCGGTATCGCTGTCGTCCCCTCCCTTGTCGTCGGTGGCATCCTTCTCCTTGGCTTCTGCTTGCTCCGCCTCCTCTTGCTGCCTCTTCTGTGCGACGGCGACCTCGTTCGCGAACCAGTTAATCGAGTACCATAGTCCTGCGCACAGGACCGACAAGATTACAAAGTGTATGCTTGCCGTGGCGACGAGGAGCCCAAACAGGACGATTTGGAGGGCAGCAAACGTGGCGTTTGTGGCTTTGAGGATGGTGGGTGTTGGGCCGGGCACGAAGATGGACTCCCAGAGGTCGGTGATGAAGGCGGCCATTGTGTACGGGTATGCTGCCGTGCTCTTTGCGAATTCGTCGTCTGTGTTCGGGGCGCGTCGTGGAGGCGGGACGTGGGACGCGTGCTCGGCCGATGGTCCCTCTTCTTCTTCTCTTTCCAGGGTTCTGTTTTGCGCCCGAGAGGAAGGGGGCGTTGTTGAGCAGGGATGGGGTAAACCGTGACGTTTTTGTGCTCGTGACTAGGTATTTACTGTGGGTGCCTGATAAGTTTTGTGCAGCATCAGCCTCCGCGGGCAAGTGGTGACTTGTTTTGGCAAATAGTCGATACTTGGAAACGTCGGGGGTCGCGTGGGTGTGTTGAACACGTATTGCGGCCAAGTGTCCATAGTGCCTGGTGGTTTTGCCCGGATGTGGCTGCCTGAAGCCGCGCGGAGAAGGATATAAGTTCCTTCCGTTGAGGCAATTTCATGGTGCCCGAGACCTGAGCCGCTGGGACGCAGCCACCAGCTCCTCGAGACCGAGCTTTGGTGAAGTCCAATTGGAAGGAAGCCCAACAAGAAACTTGATACTACTCACGAGGTTTCAATCAGTCACCAACAAACAGCACTGGACGGAGCGTACGAGCCGTCTGGTTTTTTTTTTGGCCCGACTCCAGGGTAGTGACGGATCAGATACGAAAGTTGGTGCCACAATCGCGTTTGCGCAACCGACTGCCTATGTCCGATCCGCAACACAAAGGCCAGGGCAAATAGTGTCGGAACCCCGGGCTTCACAGCAGCCCATGGCGTTTTGCCGGCTGCCTTGCCTGCAACGAGAAATTCGAATCTCCGGTGCCACAGTCCAGGAACCCCCGTCATAATAATCTGACTCTCCGCAACGATGCACAAATCGCCGCCTGTCCAGTGTCGAGGCTGCCTGGGCTGAGCCGATTCGTGAGCACTGCAATGACTCAGTCTTACAAATGGATCTCAGAGAAAACTTATTAGGCAGTGTCCGACTATCTATCCCACTTGCTAGTCCGGGTCCCGACGTCTTCCCCGGTATACTTGAATGAGATTCTGACCCAAGCCGACACGGACCGTTGAATACCGATTGCGGCAGTGCTGACGTCCAACATAGTACTCCTGTTTTCAGCCGTTCCGGCAAGGTACAAATGGGATGATCAAGCCCCAGTGTCAATTTCAATATGGTAGACATAATAGACCGTCAGCCCGGGGTGTCGTTCGTTTTTCGACGTGACTAGCTTGTCGGCCAGTCATGCTGGCCACGAGAAGTCCGTTGTCTGAAGCCATGGACCCAATTACTCTTCCGCCCTTCGGATTCCTCGGCCGCATCTTGTTCAGGGTCACCATGCAGACACATGGCGAATGGTGCCGGATACTTGTGCCAGGCACTCTCCATGAATGGTGTATATGGATGAAGCGTACCTGCTTTGTGCCACCCCATCCCTTCCCCGGGGTTTTCTTGAATCCCGTCGTGCGAACGAGTTTAGGTGCATAGACGACCCCGTCATATTTCCTGTAGCCTTTCGCGTATGCATATTTTAATACAAGATAGGGCTCTGGTTTATCCCCAAAATTTCCTTGTGGCTTCCGGAGCCTTGTTGGAGGCCTAGTGGAAGAGCCTCGATCTCGTTGCGAGCCTTGTACCACAGAGAGTATACGGAGTAGTACTAAGCATGTCTCATACTTGCCCCGTGATCATAGTGTAACACGAGGATAGTTACTCCGTACGGTCGACTAATATGTGACTTGTCAGCTCCACTTGCCGGGTGAGTTGAGTAATGGTGTGAGTAAGCGCGTGCATCTTGCGTTTTAATCCGACAAACGTGAGCCAGCAATGCCCATACAATTCTGAAGCCAGTCCCGTACCTTCGGGGTACGTAGTAGTTCAGGCCGCTCTCTGTCCCCCAAGACAGCAGCAGCAGGCGTATCTCTCTCCGCCATCTCACCGACATCCGAGCTTCTTCTTGTGGGGAGTCGGATCGACTGAGGCATTATAGCTGTAGAAAAGCCGTCAAACGCCTACCCTACCTCCCCTATGCCTCCTGCCTCTTTTGGTTTGCACATATACTTACCAACCAGACCAACGGTTCAAGTGTGGCGTTGCAAGAACTCATGTCTTTTCATGTTCATGTTACATCCGCCGCAGAACACCGCCAACTTTGTGCGTTGTCGTACCTGACTAAAGTGCCAAGTCCCAAGATGGAAAGTAGACAGGTTACTCTGCATCTACCAAGCAAACTCTCTTAGGGATCAAGTGACGAGCCCTTACTGATACTGCCGAATGGCTAATTTTCAACCCGACAAATGGGAGTTCGACGTCCGTCCTCAGGCGGTTAGATACCTCGATTTGTAGCCTGTAAGAGTAAGGCTGTCCCCAAAATAGACCTTCTCGATATAATGGGATGAAGAATTCTAACATCATATGCCATTGGAAGGCAACGTTACCAAGGAAGTGGTCTGTTCTCTGGAGCAACGAGGCGGTCGTTCCGTCCGTCTTCTCAAAGTGATTGAAGAGTCCGTGTAGTACCGGCACCCGGAAGATACTCTGAGATAAGGGAGTCAATTGTATGCCGGGTTTCGGGCTGATCAAACAGACTCTGTAGTTGTCCGCGCGGGACCTGATTTCTCTGAGCCGAGGTATTTGACGAGTATAACACGATAGACTGCCGTATTTCCCATTCGGAAGATAAGAGTTGCCCAAGGTTTCCCTGTTGGCTTGGTCTTCGTCATATAACCTCATGGGTCTAGTGTTAGGGGTGAGGATACGAAACATCGGATTTTAGCACCGAAATCTATTAAAAAGACCTGCGGGGTCTGTTGTAGTTCCGCCTTTCTTTCTCGATTAGGATTCTCTTGTTTAGACTGAACGTGACGTCCGTGACCTGCAGGGAGGCTGCATCAAAAGGACTTGCTTGAAGGATAGGAGCCGATCAGAAACGCGTGGCTAATTGTCCATGTTATGCTTCAGTCTGACCAGAATAAACACGAATAGTAGATATGCTGTTCCGTATTCAAGAAAAGGCGCAGTCGGATCTCACAAAATGTTGTACTTCCATTACGCCCATGAATGACTCTGCTGGCGAAAATTTATGATGAAGCAAAACTGACAGATTGTGAGACCTGTTCCCCCTGGATCTTGGCCTGAGTTTTGCGCTAAATCAGAGATTTGTACAGCTTGTTCTCTAGGGATATCACAGACCTCTGTGATAGGAATGGGGTGCTTAGACTGCCTAGATTCCGGGCAGTCCATCTGGGTTGCGTTCATGAACACTGACACCTACCAACGGCTTCATCGGCTTCGGTAATGCAAGAGCTGTATCGACGTAGACCACGAATAGTATAGCTGTCCTACCCAAATGCCCCAGCATCTCTTTCATTGCAAGTATCTCCATTGTGAACCACTGGGACACGCGAGGCTGTGCCATTGGAACTGCGCTGCTACGAGGTGATCGGGGTCACCTGAACTTGTTCCTGGTCGATGCCCGGAGACGCTTAGCATCCGCAAAACACACCAGATAATCCAATGACAGGGAGAAGAATCATCCGCTGAAACGAGGAGCGTGAGCTACTCTGCAAGTTGGTAACATGCGAACTGCATGTGGCTGTTTTCCTGACCACGATGAACTCTCGGATGCAAGGGATTCACATCATGTACATTTGTACCTGACATGAGGCAATGCAGTGTCTTGTCAACAACCCTGCTGCCAGACTCTTCCATCAGGTAAAGCTCAAAGAAGAGTAGCCATGGTACGCAACGAAAATCTCATACTTTAACTTTTCAATCCTCAATATGCATGTTAAGTAGCACGCCCGTGGAATAGGTGAAGTCAGATTCGTCAATTTAGTCAATAAAATTGCTCTGAAGCGTTCCGAGGCCCCCATCTACTGGATGCAGCGAAATTTCGTCCAAATGCTCATACCGACCTTTTGCATCATGATAAACCCTTGGACGCAGGGGAAGAGAGTCTCAGTGGATGACGTCTATGGTCTGACACGGGTCACGGCACTCTGACCGGACAGTTGCCTCATAGAGCTGCAGACTAGACGTGTGTAGATGCATACTAGCTTGTCTTATCTGGCCATGTTGTAAAGGAAAAATGAAGAAGACCTACCATAATAAGACCATCTCTTGTAGGAGGCCTCCACTTTTGGCAGAGTCGTTAAAACAGGCCATTTCAAAGATAGACAGACTCCAATCTCACCAACCCCCAATTCTGGCCCTCAACACTGGCTCTTTTGGGCAAAGCCAGGCAAGCGTGAGAGAAACACTCGGTAGAGGAATCATGGATGATGGATCAGCCCACCGGTACTTCGTACAATACTAGGACTAGTTAAATCGTCGACCTGTGGTGGACGGGACAGTTTCTCCAGAGCCAATGGGGGATGGACTGATACCCACGTCACTCCTCCGTACCCAGCATAGTGTTATTCCTTGGGCATTGGGCATGACAGGACCGGAATAACGAGGGCTGCGTGGACTTGGACTGCACCTGTTGTATTATACAGCACAGCTGGTATAGCTTCATGGGGGCCAGATCCACATCTGCATGGCCCAACAGGGTTGGGATGACAGACATGGTCATTGTTCCAGGATGAGAAGGGCGGCTGGCCGCCATGGGTAATGGGATCATTGACGGCCAAAGGGAGGGGCGTGGATGAAATTGCTCAGCGACAGCCGGCACCGCCCAGTCCAAAGATTGATCAATGCTCCGATTGGGGCCGCTGTCCAGAGCCACGCCGGTGTGAGATGGCTTCGTTGCTGATCCACGCACAGCGACACGAAGACAGCTGTCAGCGTCGGAACGGTTACCATTGGTTGATTTAGACGCCGTTACGTCGAGGGTCCTCGGGTGTGTCCAAAACAAGCTGTGTTGGTTTGCGCAGCTAACCGGGATAGGTTCGTACAGCAGATACTAGCAGTACGGAGCAGTAATTCGGACATCCACATTTCCTTCCCCGTTATAGGTCGGAACCAAGGCTTGAGTCTAGCCGCGAAATGTTAGTGCACGGTCAAGTCCTTGGAAGAATTCTGGCAGCAAAGCAATAAACACAAGACAAGGCCGTACAAACTTGAAAGCCATTGAGCAGGCATAGAGCCAAATGGGCTGTGTCGTATTAGCAAGGTCAGAGTTGGGATTTGCATTCCCGTTAGTGGAAGATGGTTGAAGGTCTGCCACCACTCGCGCTTTCCCAAACTTGACTGGAGTTTGAGGAAGGTACGGATTTTGACGCAGATATTGACGAGTCGATGAGTCAGCGAGCCAAAACGACACGAAGTCGACACAATCGAACTTGAAACTGCCCAAGCTCTTGTGAGTGTCTTTTGCAGACCAAGCCCGACACCTTACGGAATACTACTACTACCAGGCTCGACTATGAAGTGGGTGAGATGACCACTCCCAGGCGGCAAGCTGCGGTACTATGACCCATTACTCTGACACTCAGCAGCCTCAGAGGCATTTCTGATAGCTGATTATCGGTGCTCGATCTTGGCCCGAATCTTTCGGCTCCGGCTGTCCGCATTTCTCACATGCTGGCGATCCTCGCCCTTTGCACCATCCCACTGGTATCGAGTCGAGCCCAACTAGAAGCTCAGAGAGTGCGTGCAACTTACACCTGCGCGAATGGGCATGAGCCGTTGGGAGGGAGAGCCAAGGGTGGGACGGTGGGAGAGGAGGGTCCACACGCCAACGCATCCCACATGTCTCTCGCTGGACTAAAAAAACAAAGCTACGACTCCGGCAGGCATAGAGGGTGGAGGCTCTGTGTCGCAACGAACTTGAGAACTTGCTGTGATTGAATTCTTCCAGCACCCAACACCTCTGACAGCCATAGGTGCTTGTTACCCTCTGATGGACGGACTATGGGCACATCGGGTTTGGGTTTGACTTTCATCATGGCATTCCACTTTGCAGGACCTGGGACGGGTTGGAATGGATCCTGCTGTGCGTACGGCGTAAGGAGACCTAATTGCTCATCGCCAACTTTGCAAAGACTGAGTTCGACACTGCCATGAAGGAGGACTCAGTGCTGTCTTGACCAAAATACTCTGGTTGCACTAGGTACGTATGTACTGGTTCGCAATCAACCAACAGAACCGCATACCCGCTACGTCGTTGGCGTTTTTGGCTTGTGGCTCGACAGCCCCAACCCCTTGGTCTATACTACAGCACATACTGCAGACGGCCCTGGATCACTGCGGTCATATCCGTTTGCCATTGAAAACAGCTTGAGAGTGCAGGAGGCCATCGTCCAACACCGCCGAGTCCCACCAAGCACTCAGAAAAGGCGGCAAGGATCCCAATCCTGCTATCGAAGATACTAGTGCCATGGGAATTCTCGCCTCGGCGTCCAGCACGTGGGCATCTGTTCAGGCTTGCGAACGTTGGTTGCATTGGCAAAAGCTGGGTTCATCGTCTCACTAGCCAGTAAGATACCCCCTTATTTTGACACAAGAAAAGCTCTGTTCTCTTCACCTCAGGTAGTCCTGACATGATAATATCATGGGCACCGACGCTCTCCCCGAACGTGGATGGCCATTGTCTAAGAAAGCCTTGAGAGAATGGTGATGGTGCTTGAAGGCGACCACAGGGCGAGCTGTGGTCCTGCTGCCAGGCTGGCTCCATGTCAAATTCTTCGGCTCTCGTCTCACCCACCTGGTCCAACACCCCTGGTATGCCTTTGACTCTGCACACACCCATCCACCACCTTCAGTCCGTGGTAGAGTGTACATGTACAGAAGATACGGCTCCTTGGGAGACAGTCCATACATACCTAGGTAACTACCTGGGTAGGTACCTAGGAAGGCCTGACTACCTAGGTAGTTCTCTGGCCGTCCCCCTAGCCGAATCGGACACCTCCGTCCAAACCCTGCCTGGCTTCAACAAACACCCACAGCTGCATTCGGTATCCTGGCCTTTCTCGCTAGATTGTCCAGTTGGGATGGGCCGCCAATTCTGGAGCCTATCGATCCCTTCCCTCCTCCCCCCGACCGCGCCACACGTCAGAGGTGGCAGGCCCGTAACTAACTGGACTGGGGTCAGCAAGCTGTTCGTCTGTGTATCGCTACGGCCATAGAGACGCGCGACTAAGTACAGGCTCCCGGAGCCAAGGCAGGCAGGCAGGCCAGCCTCTTGGTCTCTCACACCCATACACTACGTATAAAATCGTAATACTACTACATAAGTCGCAATGAGCCATTGCCTCACCGTGGCCACACCCCAGAATACCCACCGGCACGCGCATCCAGCCTCTCATTGTATTCTGTACAATGCCAAGCAACGTTCACGCCCCCAAGCAGCAAGATGCCTCCGATTCTGTGGGTAACCTCACCACTCAGATGCCCTAGGGAGGAGCTGTCTGTCTGTACCTGGTTTGGTTCTGAACCATGCTAGCCGTGCCTCGACTAGGCTGTTACTGCCATGTTCCCATATCCTGAGCATGAGTACGGGGTTTGTAGCATCTGATGTCTATCCCGGCGGCAGTTTACTTCCTACACCTTGCCAGTCCCCTCTCTCACCATGGCCCCAGTGTCTTCATCAAGACTAAGATATGAACTCCACTCGAGTTCGGTAGGACCTTGTGCTATAATACAGGCCTATGCCCTGGTATCTGGTTGTCCAGCCTTCTGCGAATCACCTCCCCAAGGATATATTCATTCCTTCTGCCACTTCTCTTGTCTTGGACATCAAATTGTTGTTGTCTCACCCAAACGTGGCAACATCCATCTTCTGGCTAAAACCTGACCATCAGTTCCTGGGTCTTCAAGGAAACTGTAAGTTGAACTATTTTGAGGACATGGCTTCTTCCCCTTGTTGAAGTTCGCGACTGTGTTTGGCACTGGAAAGTCGATGGAGAATATGTCACGACATCGGCTTACACTCTGAGAAAAGAAGAACGCAGAAATACCTGAAGTGCTATTTTCCAAGACTTTTCTATTTGGTGGCTTTCCGGGCTCTGGCTGCAGTGTCACTCCCCGAGCGCTTACCCTCCCACACCACTTGTTAAGGCTGCGCGCTCTTTCGAGGCTTGCATAAGAAGCTGAGAAGCACACCTCTCTCCGTTTTCCCCTTTCACTTTTGCCGTGGACAAACTCCGTATGAGAAACATAAAGCCAGAGGCCATACCACCAACAAGTAATTTGGGCTTGATCTTTTCGAAAACAATCAATATGAGGTATTACTCTCCCTTCTGCCGCTTCCAAGCAACATACTTACCGAGGGAAAAAAATTAGCGCGGTTGTAATCCAGTTCGACCCTGCCTTTGCAATGGGACCCAGATCGGTATTCCCTTGGCCTGGTAAGAAACTATTTCGTTCATACAGGCAGCAGTATCAGCTAAATCGAACCCATAGGGCCTCTTGACTCAGCGGCAACAAACCACAATATTCTAGGAGCTGACCTTAATTCTCTTGTCAGCGGCTCAGACGCCAGCCTGACTCCTCCCAGCGAGACAAGATCACTAGCTTCTAGCCCGCCACGCCTATCCATGACACCTGAGCAACAGGAGATGAGGAGGCACAGAGATAGAGTACGACGAGAGTCCAAGTTGACGTCCAGGATGAGACGCACTGACAGTGCCTCATACACCACCTCCCCGCCGCCGATGGCCCTGAACGATGTTTCTAATGCAATCCCTCTGCCGATTTACTCGACGGCACCTCAGGTCTCTCTACTCGCAGAACCTTCTCAAGCTCTACACAACCAGCAATATCTGTCTTCATATAACGCAGCTCTACAGGAAGCTTCACATACTTCTCAGATGTTCACCTCTTCTCCCTATCAGTCGATGTGGGTTGTTCCAGACCAACGAGTTACGGAAGCATCATGGGCTAATGGAATTTGCTCTCAGACCATCAACGTATAGCATGCCAATGGATTACCCGGGTATTTATTCTGCACCAGGGGACTTCAGGTATGCTATGAACTTGTCTCTCATTTTCGTGATTGGCAGGTAATTTCTGACATGAGCTCAATAGCACTCGTACCCCTCTATCAGTCGCACAAGACACCGGCCTCCTATACTCCATGCCAACGGTTCAGCCTATTTCTCATTCAAATTATAGCCAGGAAGGCAGCCACGTTAGAGTTGTTCAGAGCCGGCCAAAACCTCGATGTTGGGAGCATGGGTGCAATGGCAGACAGTTCTCCACCTTTAGCAATCTTCTTCGACATCAGCGGGAGAAATCAGGCCAAGCAGCCAAAGCTACATGCCCAAATTGTGGTGCTGAGTTTACTCGAACAACCGCCAGAAATGGACACTTGCTGCACGACAAGTGTAAGCAGAGAAGAGGCAACAGCAGCAGCAACTGAAACAGCAACATTACATCCGGTTCCGATTCACGACTGGTGAGGCTAGGGAGACCTCGATTCTAATCCGACACAAAACTTGTACGATTACGTCATCTATTCTTGTGATTTATATTTGCTTTTGTTCACCAAGTCTTCTTTCAACTTGAGTGGGGGTTTGATCTTCCGGCGCAGATAGGTGTATTGTAAGAGGCTGTACCCAGGGATCACAGGCCAAGAGTTCCAGCTCACGGTACGGCTTAGTGCTTTGGATGGGAAGCTGGCGGATGTTTGAATGTTTTGTTTTGACTTTGGGATATATCCACCACGTCTATGAGCAGATTTCTTATGAAATAATTACAGGCGGTTTTTTTTTTTTTTTTGGCGAATATTTTGGAGGGGTGATCACTGAACGGGATGGGCGGCACAGCATGCAGTGAAATTCAATTGGCCGTTTGGAAATATTACATATGCAAAGAAGACTGCTTCGTCCTCGTCTGACGCAGATTCCACGTGCATGGCATGGCATGACGGCTTTGGGTTGCGGGCGGAAGTCAGATTTGGAATGCTGTGCCAAGGTTCCGTTAAGGTACCGTCACCACATGCTTGCCTGGGATGGTGGGCATGGGAGGAGATTGTCGGGACGGTGCAGGTTCTCCTCGTGGAGACGACATACAGAAATGCAATATGGTGTGGCATTGGCGGAGGCTCATGACGTCTGACGCAGAGTTGGGTGCATGCAAGCTGCATGATAGGGTCTATTACTGGCAACCTGGCTACTGTAGTAGCCGTCTTGGCCGCCAGAGTGCGACCTGGCTCTTGGGTGGTGTTGACAGAGGAGAATAGTGAGCACCCCCCGGACTTAGCTCATCTCCCGTCCACTGGCACTCGGAAAGACCCCGAAGTTTTTTATTTATCTATTTATTTTATTATTTGTTTATTAAATCCCCCCCCTTCCGTCCCCCGTCTAGCAAGGGTCATCTGCCTGGCAAGGCCGTGTGGGAAGGGCGAAGAAAAAAGATGAGTATGGAGTACGAAGCACAGCACTGAGAGAGTACGGAGTACCCAGTTTGCCAGTCATGTGTTGGTCGGGCTGTCCAATGTCTGGCGTGTGGAACCAGACTGATCAGCATGCTGAAGTGGTGTGGCGGGAAGCCAAGCGATTCTGCATCGACGTGTGTTCTGAAGTTGTGTAACCTTTATTACATGTTTGTGCTATAATATGCATATGTGCCGTTGCGGAGCTCCATCACGACCTTTGTTATTATTAACCCACACACACCAGACACACTCTCTCTCATACACACGCGCGCGTGCAAACACGACTGCAGTTGCGTCGCAAACGACTCTTACGAATTACACCGGACAGTTATTGGAAAGAGGGGCATTTACGAATATTGGCGGAGCTTTCAATTTGTTGGGGGCTTTGGATTCTCTTGACAGGGACAGTCACTAGACACAGGCTGGAATGGGTGAAGCGCGCCGTTGGCCTTGTCGACGGACGGTGCGAAAAAGTATTACTATGTACGGAGCCTGGGAGCCTAATCCACATCAAATGCTATCAGGATACCTACGGTCAGGCAACATTGAATCAAGATGTCTGGTACCAGACTATCTAGCACCAGCACCGGACATTAATAGCGCAACGCGGGGGTGAACTGCTGCATCGACCCAAGCTCAATTTGTCCCAAGGGTGAATGTGTTTTTAATTCCACCAGCTTACAGGACTGGAGGACTGACATCTGGAGGGAGGCACGACTGGCAGACATGGAGGCCAATTGATGTCAGGGGCGGGCCAGCGCCGTCCAACTAGAACCTTGACAGCTGTGCAGGGATGAAGATGCAATGTTGACCGGGACCCCGGTGTGGGGGCGCCTTGGGGTCTTCTTGCGTCTTGTGTGTGTTGACCAAGTTGGCTAGCCCAGGTTGGAAAGGCCAACTGGGGACAGAGTGCCAGGTTGAGCAGGTGCTGCCCAGGATTAATTCTTGGCCTATCAACCCAGAGGAACTCGGTCCTCCTTGACCATCTCGACAGGTCCATATAGGCAGGGATGCCCTCTGAACTTGTTATTCCGTGTGAAAGCACTGGATGGTTCTGCCAGTCTACTACGACAGAAGGCTGTGTATATTACTCCATACAGAGAGAGCACGGAGAATACCCGACAACGGTCGAACGCCCTTGACGACAGGCGGGGTTCCTGGTCCCGACATTCGCATTGGCCGGGTCAAAAGGACACTCCCGCCATGTGAGTTGATCAGATCAAAACTGATCGGGGGCTAGGATGATTTTCGCACTGCCGCTCCCCCCTCAATAGAACCAAGCCGTCCATCTGTCTTGACCCAGAGCCAAGAAATGAGCCGAAGCCAACGCTGCCTTGCTTTTGTGGCTTCCTTTAGCTCCAGCAGAGGAGGGTAAGGGGAAGTGAACTAATGGTTTGGGGCCTTGTTCACCCATTTTCGATTCGATGCTTTCTATGTTTCTGGAAGACGCCCCCAACACTAATCTTGGAAATGCTGTGTAAGACTAGCCTTCCACTAGGGGGGTGAAACATGGGGGGGACTGTTTGACAGACGTCTTTTGCTTGGCGCCACTGTCCGCTTCTGGCAGTACAACGCAAGACTTCGTTTGAGCTTCGCTCTTCGGCGTTTGCGGGCAGAAGAGATGGCCGAAGACTGGTGGTTTTTTTCTTGTATTCGTTCCCTTTTTTTCCCTTCCCAAGGCTACACAAACAAGCGAACAGACCATCCCGCGGATACTTGACCATTGCGACGGGGTCATTGACGAAATGAAAGCTATATACAGGGGTAGCGGTGGAAGGAATGCCGCTCTTTCAAAGTAAGGACAATACGCCTGGCCTGCCCACCAACCTATGAGACGCAGTTATTGACAAATTTTCTATACAGCCCACTCGTTAAAGCTTAAATCAGTGCACAAATGCAGAGCGGGCCGCCGAAGCGATGTTACTGGTGCAGATGAGAACGGACGCAAGACCCGATGGTTCCTCCAATCCTGTGAGACAGCGGACACGAGAGTGGTTCCTGACACAGGCTCGACATGTTGATTGAGAACGATCAGAGGGGACTCATCAACAAATGCCGCACAGTCCCGTAGATGCGGATCCACACAGAAACTCCCGTGAATCGAAGGAGCCGGAGCCGCCGAGACGACACTTGCCGCCCCGCGAAACGGGACCGAAACACAAATCCGGTACCCGTGGTGATGGAGCAGGACGCATGAGCATGCGCCATTTGGCCGTGTCGTTTTCCTCTCGGCCCACTTGGACTCTTTCTTGAGATGCCCTGCATGTCTTGGACTGGCTGCAACGCTGGACTGGCCATGCGGATGGCTTGCGATGGCTTGCGATGAATGCCGCGGTTGGCTGATCAAGGCCGGTCTTCAGGTTGGTAGATGGGAAGCAATCATGACCACGCGGAATCAGCACTACTCCGTACTTTAGTGACGATTTTGCGTCCCAGCCCACACAAAATCCACCACCGTCCACAGCCGAACGCCGCCCCAGCACTTAGATTACGATGAGCTGACAGCCTTGGCCCCAGTGACGCGATCCATGACGGGTGGGAATAAGAAATCCCGCGCCTTAGCTAACCATGATGAATTTTCCTGGCGCCCATTTTTGGAGACTCGTGAATAATGTGCCACCAGATCTTACGGCCTGCTGCTACTAGCAGCACCAATCTCCACTGCCAGGGGCCTTCACTGCTCTCGGCCAGACAGCGTAAAAGCCATCCTGCGAACAAGCGAAAAGATAACTGACGCCTGGGACGGGTTGGGGCCCGTTATTTAGCGGGATGGCTGCATGTGGATCGCGACATGATCGCGGTGCAAGGACATTGTACTACATACATACATTACACATACATACAACGCGAAGACGAGGCTTGCACAGTGGAGTCTTGAGTCGACAATAATGAACGGGCCGTTCTTTGGGAACTCCTAGAGCGGAAAAACAGATGCTACCTTGCATCTTGCGTTTTGTGTGGTTTTGAGGACGAAGTATGGACTAACATAACAGTTATAGGTCTACCCAGGAACGATACAAGAAAGGAAATGAATAACGAATTCAGAGACGGATCGAGGCCGAGGAAACAACAGGTAGATTGATTGGCCAGTTGATGTGTGCCAAGATGACATCTGGAGAGCGACCTCTTGCTCAGCACCGTCCAACCGCCTCACGGGCCGTACGCCACTGAGATTGCGGCAATGGTGAGATTCAATGTCACCTCGAGCTTGATACAGTATTTTCTCTTCATTAATAGAGGTCGGATTTATGAGTGGAAACAAAGGAAAAGAGGTCCTCACCTATACTAAACTGCATATGTCCGCTATGGTTCACAACTACATACTTCAACACCTCAAGTATCCGGGAAACATTCGGCTTAAGCAATCTCACCCAAAGTCAAGATACGGCATCATCCACCCCGACTACAACCCATCCGTAGTTATGACGCAGTTTTCGATTTGCACATCCACAGGCGGGTAAAAATGAAACCCTCATTGCTGCTCGCTGCGGACCAGGCCTGGCAGCCCGTGGCCCAAGTTCTCACTTTGTCAACGTCATTGGCTCCGACCCAACGTCCAGCATAATCGAGACTGCCCGCCCGACTCCAGGCTGCTCATCATCCCGCGCCCGCATGCGCCTCTACGAGGACTCCACTACTCAAGACCTCGGCACAAATCTCCTCCAATTGCCATATCAAGCGTCGGCTTCATCACCGCCCCAAATGCTACGAACCGGCTCGACATGCCCCGATTTAGAGAGGCTGTGGTGGGAGTTGGCAAGCTCCACGGCATCTTGATTCTATAATGGGCGGTGGTATCAGCCCTCACACGACCTTGCCCACCTCGGCTGCCATCCAGACCACCATGGAGCATGAGATGGCGGGCATTGAGCCTTATTACACGGAGGGAACCGGGCTTAGTCAAGGTTATTACGTGAGACTAGCGCTTCTACGGATGGCTGAGTTTTCCAAGAGAGCTCTTTATTCATTGGTGTTGAGGACGACAAAGAATCGTGCTTTTGATATCATCGAGAAGTTAAAATGGACTTGTTCGAGAACAAATTCGGGCGATGCAAGGACAGAGGGAAGGCTGTTGCCAAAGGCTGATGTTGACGAAGGGTCCGAGAAGCTGAAGGCGTACACGAAAGGAGTTTCTGACTGCGAGAAAAGGAAGTCCAAGTTTGAAACTGTCTCCAAGGACAAGTTCTGTTGCTCGAGTTCAAGAGCGCCTTTGATGACGCAATGCATGTACATCCCTTGGCGATCCAACGTGGGTCTTGATCACAACACACAACTTGGCAGCACATTGAGGTCTGAAACACAAGGAGCCACAAGTCACTTGATCAGGAACTTTTCCAAGACTTTAACACGCCAGAAGAAAGAGAAGAGATGGGGAGAGAGCGCCTCTGCGGCATTTCACTCTCGACTCCCCCAGGCAAATGCTTCGTATAAGTCAATGGCGAACCCAAACGCTGCCTTCGGTGGAGCCGGGAATAATCAGCACGAACCATTCCAACAACAGCTCTGTCTCGTATAAGACGACAGCCAACTCAATTCTCCTTGGAGGATAAAATAAGCCGAGTGATGTACTCTGTATGTAACAAGCCGTCTCACCAACTTGCCACAGCCAGGTACTCCGCATCGAACCCTCGAAACTGGTTTCAGATAACCTCGAATCAAAAGCTGTGGGACATACATACATACATACATATCCTTTCCGAACCATCAAGCAAGCATTCCCACGTGGGCGCCAGCAACAAAAGCTGGGTCCCTCATCAACCACCAGATTTCCCGCTGACGCCTTGTGGTCTCGCCCTGTTTTTATTATTAGCACACAGCATTATTATTTTGTTTCGCCATCCCTGACCAAACCCCTCATCGTCTGGGGGCGTTCGGACGAAACGTGATGGGCTGGGTTCGTACAAGACGCATTTCAGCGCCGAGACACCACCACCCACCGCTGTTTGGGTGTGTGTAGATGGATGCATTGTGGGGGCGCGAAGAACGGTGCCGCATTCGAGAGGTTTGGCACCTTTTGTGGGCTATCATGTGAAATGTATGATAAGTTATTCCTTGCGGCGCATGGAGCAGAGCTGAACATCTGTTAGGTCTGATCCCGGCCTCGGGTGCCCAGTATGTATGTACATAGAGAATCGAAGAAGGACGTAAGCTGGCTGCTCTCTGCGATCCGTTGGTCATGGCATTTCGGCCGAGTCTTGAAACATAGCACCCCATCAACACCTTCGCATCAACCGACCTGCTGCTGTAGGCCAATCGCACGACAATCCACGGAGCCTTATGTATCAGCCCCGACCAACTAGCACTGCATTTCGAGCCAACTGCAGCAGTATGAAACGCGCAATGGTCATTGACGTCCAAGACATTTCTGACAAAAGCCGAGCACTCACCATTGAGCCGAAACGCTTCTGAATATTGACTTTGTGTTGTCGTGCAGATAAAAGCGTCCATCTGTAAACGCAACACGTACGGCCCGCACTGGCCAGCCTTGAGGCCCATGCAGGGCGAATTACGTGAGATGGGTCGGGAAACCATGGCCATGGTGGTTGGGCATGTCCGGGCAACACGGGAACTTGACGTCCCTTGAACCGTGGCGATGTGTCAACATTGGGACGACGATACGACTCTCAAGGCAAAGAAAGACATGGGACCGAGTGTGAACAGCGCTGGCAAAAGAGGTGCTGGTCTGGTAGCTTCCAATGGGAGCAAAAGGGCGAGTAATACTAACAGCTGAGCGTCGAGTACTACTACAATGTGTTAACTCATTTCCACCTAGTGCAAAGGCCTTTGCCTCGCAGACATGCGCCTGCGATATGCGTCTTGACTTCGCGCCGAAGTGGTCTAGTGTTTGCAGCCCACGGGATTCAAGAAGCATCAACTAGTCCGTCCAAGGCACAGCCAGACTTGTATTGTGTATGTTTCCGTTTTGATGCGCCTGCTTTAGCGCATGTAGATTTCTGACCGCAGACTCGCCGCAAGTCTCAGCCTATGCAGCGTGTTTATCAAGGCACATTAGTGTGACATGGCACGCAACCCGCAGCCTCGTAGCAGCAAGACACTGCAAGAAGAAGTTGTGCGGCGACGAGATTCAGTTGAGACGCAAGTCGGTCGTCGACCTCTCCCTTGGCCAGGTTCGGGTCCATGTCCACGCTCGCAAGCACTGCGGTTTCTTCATTATTTTTTTTCCAGTGGAGAGTGTCTGGTGTGGGTGATAGTAGTAGTTGATACCTACTTATTGACCCAGTTTGCGGACCCCGTAATACGACACTTCGGTTCTCGCTACGGACGCTACCGAGAGAACGGTACAGTTGTGTGCTCGCATCAAGGGCCAGATAGGGTCCCGTATGGCGTAAGAGTTGGAGCTGTATGTATGGAAATGCAGTTTGTTGCAGTCGCACATGGCGTGGACTACAATCCGTATAGCCTTGTGTGACTGACTGATGGCGTTTGCCTTGAACTAGGGCCGGGTTGGATGCTACTTTTGTTTGCGCAAGTCCAAACTAGTCAAGGTAAATCATGTTTCCCACCAAAGAGACTGTCGACTTGGGATTTTGGCATCGGAGAGACTATTTCATCCGGCTGGTGCAACGTCATGGCCTCGCACCACAGTTGTGTGACGAGCAACTCGGACCTGACTCCCCCGAATCGAAATTTCACATCTCAAGGGGTCCGGCGGTGGGATGAACCAGGGGCTCTTACCAAGATGAGAGGGGAACTGGCGGTTGTCCCCTCCCCCAGTCCAAACTGCGAGCCACACAACCATGTACCCATGGCATATTTGGTACCCATCGTCATCGGACGTCCCGTGATGGGGGGTTCTGTTGGCTCGATACCGGCCGAGTTCCACAAAACAAAACTCGGTGGACTTAATCAGGATATTCTAGCGAGATTGGAGCCTGCAATGGGTGGTCTCTGGACACACAAGTTGGTACATCCTTCCGGTATAGGCATAATGCCTGTCCGTAACTGAATAGTGCCTAGGCTGGTATAGTTTGACATGGCAACATGTCTGCTCGAACGGTGCCTATGCATGGTTAGTGTGGATGCATTCACTGTACTATGTACTAGTATTGACATAATCTCCACTGCGTATGGCAATTTGACAGCCTATGTATTATAGGGAGGATGTGTTTCCTACTGCAGAGCGCTCAAGCTTGCTCACACCTGGTCTGCATCTCGCGGGTAGGGTGAAATGCGAATAATGCTGTCGACAGCAGCCCAAAATTTGCTTGGTTTTGGATCCCATCACTCTTTGTCGGCAATGTCGAGCAGAGCACAAGCATAGAATGTTCAAGACTCGCCTACAATACATATAGGCTCCTCCGCACTAGGTACTGGGCGCTGGGTACCATATTCCACGGGGGCCATGATAATGCAGTCTGGGGGATGCACACGTGCCACTATGTGTTGCCGTCACCATAAAAGCAACCTCGTACAAGGGGAATCCCAGACGATCGGCGACAGGGTCAGGCCTCCCTCCAAACCTCGGGGTCTGGTGCTTATTTTCCCCCAAGGGCCGCATACTATACACGAGTTGTCCTCTATAGCAACTCAGGTGCTATGATAATTCCCCTTCTGGCGACATTAGCAGAAGCGACTAAAGGCGGTGGTGGTCAAGGGTGAGCTGATGCAGGTAATGGAGTAGACAGGATATGCGTCCGGTTCGATTTCGTCGAGGGGGGCTACACAATTTGCGCGACTTACACATCGACAAGAACCAGGTCCAACGATCCCCACCCCGCCGTCCGCTGCTGGAGCTAATGAATATTCGCTTGGTCGAATGTTTCGCTGCGAGCCAAATGTTGGAGGGGCGTGGTTCTAGGCAAGACGCTCTGTTTTGCCTAGAGCACCAAATCGGGCCAGGCACAGCCGATGCCAGACGCGCTAAGCGCTGCACCCCTCGCTTACGCTTAGCTAAGGGAACCTCAATGTTGCACTTACCCCCACTTTTGTTTGTCAGCATGTTTCCAAAAACAAAACAATACCGTACCTAGACGAGCAACATCACATCACGCCTCAACTTGAACGCCGACGGGGCATCTCATTGCCATCTACAAAACCTTTGAGGACCCTGCTGTCACGGCTATTCCTCAGAGCTAGTTGATCAAGTACCGGAAACAGTCGGAAAAACACTGACAGGGGCAAATTTCATCGTCCTTTTTTGTCGACATTTTCTCACGAGTTATGCGGGAGACTCCTGCAGAGGAGACTTTGAGCAGCTCATGAGATGATGACGCCGCAACCATGACAGCATCACGAGTCCGAGCCCGCAAGAGCAAGGTTTTGCGCTCCGTTTTCCAAACTGACGTCTCACAGCCCACTCCTCTCCTTCTGCCGACGGTACCAGGAGAGCCCTTTGGTGGGCCACTCGCATCTTCCACCTCCACAACCCGTCTTGCCAACATCTCCTCACTCCAAACAGCCAGTGACCAGGTCCGCTGGGACAGGGCGTGGCATACCGTGACGTCAAGAATTCAACTGCCAGCCTCGGTGGCCGTGGAAGACTCCTTCGGCACCTTGCCCGCCGAGTCACAGGACCGGGACGCATCATTCTACGAGAGTTTGGCTCTTCTCCTCGGCGCACCCACCGCTCTCCCCCGTGCCACCCATACAGAGGACGTTCTTCTGTGGCACACCCATCAGGTCCGCCAGCACTTTGTACACCATGTCCTGCCGTTGTTGGCTGCGTGTGCAGCACAGGGTGACCATGCACAAGTCTTGCTAAGCAGCGTGCAGACGCTGGAGGCGGCGCATCGTCAGTATCTCTACGGGCTAACGCTGATCGTGCGAGGCCTTGAGGACGAGGCTGCGAAGTCTCTGGTGGTGGACAAGTTCAAACGAGACTTGCATGCTATTATTGGCAACTCGTGGGCAAGGGGCTTGGCAGAAGCACTACGAGGTGTCTTGTCCCGTTTACTTGCGCTTATTCTGGGATCAAATCGGAACGTATTGACATCAGGGGCTGGCCACCGGGATGAAGGGCGAATGGACACCGCGAGAAATGAGCTCCTGAGTTTGCTGGAGTCGCTGGATAATGTTGGCTTGGCAGGAGACAAGTTTCAAGTGCTGTTTGCTGAGATTATGGACGAGTGCATGAGTGACTTCATACGACGGACATATACGGGAGTCTGGACAGCGTTGGATGTGGCTGGAAATGTGAATCCATCTGCCTCGTCTGGATGCATGGCCCATTTGTGCGGCTGGGTTGAGAATCATTACGGCCGTCTTGCCGTGGAAGTCTTTAGTCGTCTTGGGGGACAGGTTGCGTGGACAGACGTTGAGCGATGGAGAGATATTGCAGTCGGAAGACTGGCTTCATTGCGTATAAAGGAGTTGTTCGACATCGTGCTCCATTGGCCGGAGAGCAAGGGAGGTCTCGAAGACCTTCGGTCTGCCGTTGCTACGCCGCAACGCAGGCTGCAGCTCACTGATACTTTCTCAGCTACCTTGCAGAAACGACTATTGCACCCAGGCAGGTCCACACTCGACATTTTGCAGACGTATATTTCCATGATTCGG